CAGCTACTGAAGCTGTACTTTTATGACTGGATTTTTGTTCTGCCTCTGAGCTGCTGCCTAAGACCTCCCCCCCTTCCTCCATCTCTCACACTTCTCCTTCCCTTGTGTCCTTGATACCTATCTAACTGCACTGAGGCAGCTATATCAGGAGAAATCTGGCCCAGAAAAAACACATACACACCAAAAAAACCCCAAACAAAACAACAAAAAACCTCCATAAACCCCACACAAACACAACCTTTTTGCCTACTTAGCTCTGGATTGGGGAAGATGGTTTGGAGGAGGTAGTGCAAGGAGCACAGTGGCCCTAAGCAGCAGGGCAGGGGACACTTCCTTTCACTGACGCAGACATTGGCTCATGGTGAAACCACAGCTTGACACATCACTGGGCTTGACAGCTGCTGGTTTCTCAGAATCAGCAGCATTAGTTATCATACTGAAGTGTCTCACATGTAACAGTATAATTCCAACACTGGGGATTGCTATGGCTGATATGGATTCCCTGGTTCCTTAGAGTGGTAACCATCACTGCAGAGTACCTCTGGGCCCCTCTGGCACCAAGCTCTCCATACCAGCTGACAAAAAAAGCAGCTCCTTCATTCTAGTCTAGTTTGCACTGTTTGCAACTGCAAAGAAAGAAACCTAGAGGCTGTACCAAAGGTGCAGACATCACACCGCAGGACAGCTGAGCAGTGTGTGACACACACCTCCCTGCACTAAGATGCAAGAGTCTGTTCACCTCTTCTCCTTAAACACAAAGCTTTATCATAAATGACAGCAAGGATTTAGTGCAGTATCACTCACATCAATACATGCTAATCAACTGCAAGAAATTATTGCTCTAACAATTTTTGTAAGTAAACCTCTAAATCCTTTGAGGAATGGTTTTCCAACCACCAGCATATATGGGACAGTGGATGCCTGTTGAACTGTGTATTATTTCTGACAATACTTTGCAGTACTTCTAACACCTGCTTAGATCCTTGAATGAAAAAAGATCTCATAAAGCCATATAACTTTGCATATTAAGGTCTCTTTGAAGGAGAGTACAAAATAGAATACCCTATAACAATACTCTGAAAGCACAATCAAATTGCTGATACTGTTAAACGAGGGGGGGATCACACCAGAAAAGAAATGGGGAAAAAAAGCAAAACCCCAAACAAACAAAAATCCAATAAAAATATAAACAAAACACACACACACAAACCCCCCCAAAAAAATCCAATACAAAAAAACCCAACAAACCACACCAACCACAAAACACTTGAGAACTAAGAAAAAAATACGAAGTTGAAGTCACTTGTATGACCTTATTTCATCTCCATTTAATCCTCAACAGAGAGTGCTAGGAACCTTATCCATAGTCTTCTCTACTAGTAACACAGCAACAGCCGTTTGCACTGTCAGCATCACAAGCAAAGATTAGAGTAGAAAAGAATATGAGAAACTGAGTGTAAAGATCATACACTGCTAATGAAATATAAGAACTTATTTTTTTAAAAGCTATTTGAATTATTTGTAACTCTCTCCTTGGCTACAGCTTCAGGTACAGCTGTGAAAGTGCCAAAAAGTTCTTTAATTTAAAGTCTGGCACATGTTCCTTATTAGCCTATTCCATTTTTAAAATGTGGTCTTAATTGCCAAAAACAAGGGGAGAACATTACTTGCTTTTGGAGAAAAAGAGATCATTATTTTTATCCATCCTACGTGTGAAGAAAAACTACCCTAACACTAATATATTGATACTTGGAACTGAACACTCAAACGCCACGTCTTGAATACCATAATTTGTACCCATTTGTCTTGACACTTAAAAGTCACCTTCAGAAGAGATCATTTTGCTATTTATCCCACCAAGCCTTTTAGCTCTGCAAAGCTGAGCTGTGGGCCATGAAAGATATTAAATTAAATCCGAGGGAAAGAAATGCAGATGATCAGATAACAACAGTAACAGTTCGCACTGTGCCCATTTCTCCTTTAGGTCAGTGGCAGATTTCCCACACACTGGGCCCAAGGCCCAGAAACAGGAGACAGAGAAGCTTCTTCCCTTCTGTGCCTTGGCAAAAAGATTCAAAATTTTCCACCTTGAAACTCACATTATTGTGGCCTTTTCTGAATGGAAACTTTTCTACTATGGTAACAGGCCCCACTAAGTGCTCTTCATTAGCCTGATTAAGTCAGTCAAAATCTGTGGAAAGATTTTGAATAAATTCACTGAGCTTTGGGTCAGCAAAATGTAAATTAAGTAAAGATGCAGCTCATAGAAGTAATCCTGCAAAGAGTGGCTTCCTTTGCTCTCGCTGGGCTCAAGGAGAGCTGAGGACATCAGGTCTTTCATCTCTGACTGAGGTCTAAGAACTTTTTAAAGATTATCAGGTATGCTGGAAAGCTTCAGTGTATTTAGCAAAGACTGGACTGAAATATTTTCCACATGCTATAAAACAAACCAATTCCACTTCCTACATGCTGGGACTTGTTCCTGAAGTATCTAGCAGCCCTATTCAGCATCTTCAGACCAGACTTGTGCTTTTAAATATCATTTTCTGAAGTGGAAATCAAAATTTTCTAGTCTGAATTTAAAGCCTTTGTCCTCGTTAATATAAAAATAAGATAAAACAGGGGTAAAAATAAAACCAGCTATAGATATAGTGAGTTTAGAAATTGAGTACTAAGAGTTTAGTAATGCTGTACTATGACTTCACTTTCTTACCTTTTCCTTCCCCAAATACTATTTCCATCACCCAGACTAGGAGCAATACTATCAAAAGCTATAATTCTTATGAAAATCCTGAGGAGCACTCAGAGGGAAGCATATGGCTGAGAGCAGCAGAATCTTTGCAAGTATTTGGAGAATTCCAAGTATAGGGAGAAGAGAAGACTGCATGGAGACCTCATAGCAACTCTGAATATCTGAAGGGCCTACAAGGAGCCAGAGAGGGACTGTGTGTTAGGAACTGCAGTGATAGGACGAGGGGTAATGGGTTCAAACTGAAGGAGGGAAAGTCTAGGTTGGATGTGAGAAAAAAGGTGTTTTCCTGTGAGGGTGGTGAGACACTGGCACAGGTTGCCCAGGGAGGCTGTGGCTGCCCCAACCCTGGCAGTGTTCAAGGCCAGGCTGGATGAGCCTTGAGCAATCTGATCTAGTGAGGAGGTGTCTCTGCCCAGGGCAGGGGTTGGGACTGTATGATCTGTAAGGTCCATTCCAACCCCTAAATTCTATGATTCTATGATTTTTCCAAGGCAGGACCTCCATGCAGCTGCAGCAGGTTTGAGCTCACTCTGGCCAATGCAAGCTGAGTGCTGCAAGCACTTCCAGCCTACCAGTAAGGTTTATTAGCTTGATTTAGCCTGGCAGTAACACAATTACATGAGGCAAAATGACTGCCTGCAGTCTACTGAGAAGGCATATGCTAAATATCCCAAGTTTCAGGAAATATCCTAGATCTTAATAGCTCTGCAGTTAGTGTGGTTGAGGAAATAGGTTCTTAATTTGTCTGGCTCCAGCAGAAATGTTTTCCAGGTTAACTGAGTTGGCAAAGGGGTTTTTTTACAGGAAATACTCCTTTCTTCAGAGTTGGATTTCAAGTGATCCTGAAACAGTTAAACAAGACAGCCACAAACAAAGCCAGTCTAGCATTTAGGATCATGATGCTGTGACTCTTGCTCACTCTTACCTGTTGCCAGTGAGCCAGGAAAACAGGACCTTCCTTCAGACCACTAGACCTGGGCTGGTTTGATAGCAAAAGTGGAGTCAGCCTCAGTTTATGGACAAACCAGTGCTGCTAGGATAGCCAGACAGACTACCTCAAGAACAGACCAGAATCACTAGTTCTGCTCAGCCCTTCTTGAGCCAGAGCACAGTCTCTGCAGAGCCTTAGGCTCAAGGACTGGGCAGTGCCAGCACGTGGAGCCTGCTCATGTCCACTCTCTCCATTCCCATCCTGTTCTTGCAACACAAAACATGGGAAAACACAAGCACACAGACACACAGGTCTATCCAGGTTTGTTACTCACAGAATATTCTGAACTCGAAAGGACCCACAAGGACCATCAAAGTCCACCCCTCGTGGTCCTCCCTAGACTGTGCAGTCCAAGCTCCCATCTAAGGAGCCTGTTGCATTCCCACCAGGAATGCACTCCCCCTAGCAAGCACAGAGCATGGTAGCAGAGTGAGGAGGGAATAGTTTCCTCTGGCTCTAGCTTGGTGGCAGAGACAGAACTACAAAGCTTGGGTAAACCTGAGCTGGCTCCTCATGGAAACCCCACAAATCAACCTGTCTTGCATTCCTCCTTGTTGGGAGGAACGTGATGGGTAGTCTGCCAAGTCTCAGAATGACCAGCATGAGTCTGTCAAGATTATTCATCACAACTCTGCACCTCAGCAAGCAATCCTGCTGCCCCTGCCAGCACAGATCTGCAGCCCAGACAACCCACTGCATGTAACTGCTGGCTGAGCACCAGAGCCCTGTGAGTCAGGACAGTCTGTGGGTGATACTCTACTCCAGAGTCCATCTGAAGCCCTCTATACCTTATCTCATAACTGAAATGGCAACACCACTTCCTTTATCCCCCAGCTGCTTTCTAACATGGCTCTGACAGGCAGGGGAGAGCAGG